ATATTGATTGTTGAAACAACTAAGTTCACTGACTCATTTTCTTTGTTGTAGAATATGTGGAATATTATTTTTGTAGAAAATGTGGTATATAGTAAAAATCTTAGTTCCCTGCATCCACTAAAAATCTTATAATCCAGTTTATCTCATTACGCTAAAATGGCACATGCCACTTTTGTGTTCAATAGCTAATATAGTTGAATTTAAAAAGAAGTTACATCATGGATAGCTAAGATGCACACACATGTATATATATATAACTCAGGAGCCCTGGTGGTGCAGTGGTTAAGAGCTCAGCTGCTAACCAAAGGGCTGGCAGTTTGAATCCACCAGCCACTCCTTGGAAATCCAATGGGATGGTTCTACTCTGTCCTATAGGGCCACTATGAGTCAGAATCGACTGGATGGCAAGGGGTTTGGTTTCGGGTTTTTTTTGGTACGTAACTCACATATCTACTTCGAATGCATGTAAGCAGAGGGGAGCCACAGATTATCAATGCTTAGGGCCCTCACACGCCTAAATCCAGCCCTGAGTACATACAATGTTGCAGCATATAATTTGTTGATGTTATCACTCTCATGCCAATCCCCAAAGACAAATAAAGACTGGATTTATAAAGACATTGATAATAAAAAATATTGAAAGCTTAAAAAAAAAAATGAAGTATTCGACTTACGTCTGAACCGAATTACAACAGGGTCATCAGAACGGAACCCTGTCGTAAATTGGGGACTACCTGTACTTAAAAGAAATAAGTTAGGCTAATGGAAGAATTGTCATCAGAGCCAGCAAAAACAAGAAATGAATGGCATAGCATCTCCAAAGTTCTCAGCAAATACAATTATGAATCAAGAACTCTGCACTCTGCTAAACTAAACATGAGTGGAATGCAACAACATTGTCTTACGCACAAAAACTGAGAAATTTTACCACTCGTAGATGCTTACAAGAAGGCAGAAGGGACAAGAATACCTTACCAGAAGGAAGGTGTGAAGTACAAAAAGTATTGGTTAGTAAAGTCAGTAAACAGGAAGTTAGATAATTCCAAACCCACTGACGTCGAGTCGATTCCCATTCATACAGACCCTATCACTGGTGGTTCAAAACTTAAAAACAAATAACAATAATTGCAATGATTGAGTCTGTTGTGCTAAATAAAGTAACAGGCAACAACAACAACATGAAAAATGATAGGAGGGATTGATCAGGTAAAAATCTTTCCACTGTTTAAGTTAAAGATATTGATAAACTTTAAACTTAATTAAGTCAAACACACCAGATAAAATTTGAAGGCATCCAAAAAATAAAGGAAATGGAATGCAAATTTTAAAAATCTGAAGAATAAACAAACAAAAAAAAAAAAATCCAAAATTTGCAGGAAAGAATGTTGCAGTGGAGGGTAGCAAGGAAAAATTACTACAAGAAGAAAATAAAATATAAGTTGTGGAGATATGTCCATATTTACCATTTACAGTAAATGATATTGGATTAATTTTCCTTAATTAAAAACAAGATTCTTAGGTTATGTGAAAAACATCAATACATGATGTTAAAGTCTAGCTGAAAGCAACGGAGTAGTAAAAAAATATCAGAATACCAAACAAAAGAAAGGTGTTTTACCAATATTAATACATAAGAAAAAGAGGCTAAGAAAAAACTTAAGCATTTTATAAATAAAAAGTCATTAATTAATAGAAAAGGGGGAACAGTAAAAAATAAAATAATAAACTGGTTCTGATAAGGGTGATGAAATAATTGTTAGCTACTATTACATAAAAAATATTTAAATCAGTTGCATTTCTGTATGCGTTACTTACAAATGTAAATATGATTTGGCTTAAAACGTTTAAAAACATCAATTTATAAAATATCTCAATTACGTTGTTTTTTCTTATTTCTCCTTTTTTTCCAATTTTTGAAATACTTTCTCTCTACATTAATACATTTAATGATAGACAATACCAAACCATCTGCTTTTTCAAACATTATTTATGAAGAAATGATGAGGCCCAAGCCACTTTATTTCCCCTCATTAAAAAAAAAAAAAAAATTCCATTGCTGTGGAGTCGATTCCGACTCATGGTGACAGAAAGAATTAAGTGCTTGGCTACTAAGCTGAAGGTTGGTGGTTCAAACACACCCAGTGGCGCTGAAGAAGAAAGGCATGATGATCTGCTTCCATAAAGACTACAGACAAGAAAACCGTATGAAACAGTCGCCATGATTTCCTCTATATTCAGCAATATTTCAGAGTACTCAGTTTTTCTTAGTTTATTGCCTTGATGGTGATAAGGTATTTCATCTCAGTTCCCTACACATTTCAAGATTATGCTACAATAATTTAAACAATGTGATTTTAATGTAATGATTCTACATCTACAAGGTACTTCCTGTCAGTGTTAGCCTATTTGATTCTCACCTGAGCAAAGAATATTGCAAACAAAGACTTCTGTGAAAACCATCAATCACTGTCATTTAGTAGATAGTTGGAAAGGAAAAACTTTTAGTGGAAGATAAGTATTAAACAGTAATGTTAAAATCATCATGCAAAACATAGAATCGGTTTTGCCAAAATATCATTACCACTGAAAAATTACATAAATAAGTGTGATTTAGTAGCAAGGGGATATTGTATAGATATAATACCAACATTCTTTATGAAAGCTTACTAGCATTCTTTATGAAAATATATTAGCAAACTAAATTAGCTTAGTAATAACTTTAGTATTCAACAACCATGTAATTTTTTTTTTTAATAAACTGTCGATGTATTCTTGTAAAGAATGGGTAGAAAACCCTGCACCTAGAGATCAGTCTAAATTCAATTCATTTATATTTTATACATTTTCCTTTTACCACCTATACGGAAGCACCTTCCCAAGATAATTCTAGCTGCTTTATTCCCTCTTCATTCTAGATCGTGTCTAGGCAACATCTGTATAAGACTCCATTTAAATGAGATAGTGTTAATGATAGATCTGTCATTGCCTTCTATGAGTTCAGGCTTGCAATACTTTCTAAACCTGACTGAAAAAATCTGAAAATCCTTCAATGAGAACATCCTTAAATATATGTAAATTCATCTCTGCTTTTATAAAAACTACGTGCATGTATGTGTGTGCTTGTGATTATATATATATAGTTCTATAGTGTATGGATAAGAATCTTGATAATATAGCACATTATCCTTTAAAACGGTAAACAAAACTGTACCTTCACTAATCTACTTTTAATACATTTTGTTTGATATTATTACTATATTTGCTAAGTGAACACAGGATAACTCATATCTATGCAGCACTCCAGGTTATGAACTGCTCTAATACTTCTCTTGGGATCTCACAATAACCGTGTGAGGCAGGCAGATCTTGTGTCTGCATTTATTTTCAAATGAAAGTCGAACAAGAAAGAGAACATTATATGGAAATTTAACGTATATCACAACACCCTCAAAACAATTTGTGATAAGGAGAAACGGGTGAGGCTTCACAATCCTATTACTTTTCCTGTCTTATTCTTCTTTGGCGCTAATAAATATGAAAAGACTTAAGAGGGAAGGAGAGGGGTGGCATACAAGGGAGGGTAGGATGAGAAAGGGGAAGTTACCTTTTTGCTTCTAATTCATTTATAATTTACTGCACTTTGTTCAAAGAATGTGGTTGCAGGATGTTTATTCTCTAAACTTCAGAGAAATTGCTTTGTGAACAAGTATGTGAGTAATTATTATTTTTTTAAATAAAGTGTCCATGTCTTGTAAAGAATGGGTAGCAAACCCAGCACCTAGAGATCAGTCTAAAACATAAGCTCCCTGTTGTGTTTCTGTGCTGTTGAGCAGACTTTTCTCGTCCACCATTTTAATAAGGTAGAAGCTGTTCAAAGGTCCTAGCTAGACTTGGGAGCCTTAATACCATCCCCAAAGCCTTGTGTCTACCTCTTCCAAGTCTTCACTTATGACTCCTGAAGAGTTCTATTTCTTTTTTTTGAGCTCAGCTTCCCATTTAAAAGGATGTTCACTCTGTTTTAGTGTATTTTAATAGAAAATTTTCAGAATATAAAATTATTGTCACTGAGTCAACAAAATTAAGTGCTTACATGGATAAAAGAAATGGTTTAAATAGCTTACTAAATGATGATATTACAAACACTGAGTATACACAAACATCTAGGCTTAAGAAGAAAAATAATAAAATTTGGTTTTGGATTTATTAAAGAATACAAATTATAAGTGCTCAAAAAAAATCACAAGAACATGAACAGCATTTCTTCACTGGCAAGTAGGAATGTGTTTCCTTTTCTTCTTAAAAACCTATACCATCTAAGATATAACTGTCGAACTCTACTTGTATGGAGCAAAATAGAATGAGGGAAGTCAATGGCTCAGAGAAGAAACTAGTCCACAGGACTAACAGCCTACATGAGCCACAACTTCTTCTAATCTGAGATCAGAACTAGATGCTGCCCAACTACCACTACGGACCATTCTGACTAGGGACATAATAGAAGGTCCCAGACAAAATGTGAGAAAAATGTAGAACAGAACCGAAATTCCTAAAAAAGGCCAGACCTACTGGACCAATAGAGACTAGAGGAACCCCCAAGACTAATCATCATAACATACCCTTTGAACTTTGAATTGAAGTTATTTCTGCAGGTCACCTTTCAGCCAAATAACAGATTGACTTATAAAATAAACAAAATCACCCATGAGTAATGTGCTCCCTTAAACAATTAACTACATGAGACCAAATAGTCAACATTTACCCAAAACCAAAGATGAGAAGGCAAGGAGGGAAGGGAAGCTGGATCAATGGAAACAGGACAAACAGAATGAAATAATGAGAATGTTGACACATTATAAAAATTCTAACCAATGGCATGGAACAATTTGTATAAAAATTGTATCATACACATTATAGAAAATTTATTTTCTTAATATTATGCACAACTGCTTTTTTCTTTATCTTAATTCACAGGAGTGTATCAAAGGGAATTCACTGCTTACCAATCTGTTTTCTGTACTGATCAACAGGAAGCTTTACAGTAGAGGCATCTTTTCTACCCATCTTTGATCTCCAAAATGCCTGCTGAAAAGAAAGAAAATAATTACAATGAAATCCTAAAAAATTAAAGGACTATCTATGAACTTCAGGAATAATTTATTCTATAAAATTCATTTGTAAAGAAATGGTTAAAAATGCCTTTCAGATACCCCATGAGATATCAGTAAAGAACATTAAATTCTTTTTTTTTTTTTAATTTAAAATCTTCTATTTTTTTCCCATACAAAAACTCATGCATACATTGTTATATGACCCTAATTGCTCTCCCCATACTGTGACAGCACACTCCTCCTTTCCGCCCCAGATTCCCCACGTGCATTCAACCAGCTCCTAACCCTCTCCGCCTCCCCCTCTCACCTCCAGACAGAAGCTGCCTGTTTAGTGTTCTGTATCTACTTGAGCTAAGAGGCACACTCCTCACGAGTATCACTTTATGTCCCACGGTCCAGTCCAATCCCTGTCTTGGCCTCGGAAACTGTTTTAGTTCTGGGCTGATAGAGAATCCAGGGGCCATGTTTTCTGGGGTTCCTCCAGTCTCAGTCAGAGCATTAAGTCTGGTCTTATTAGAATTTGAGTTCTGTATACCCCACCTTTCTCCTGCTCCATCTGAGACTCTTTACTGTGTTCCCTGTCAGGGCAGTCATAGGTGGTTGCCGGGCATCATCTAGTTATTCGGGTCTCAGGCTGATGAAATCTCTGGTTTATGTGGCCCTTTCTGTCTCTTGGGCTAATACTTTCCTTGCGTCTTCAGTGTTCTTCATTCTCCTTTCCTCCAGGTGGTTGGGAACAATTGATGCATCTTAGATGGCCGCTGGTAAACTTTTAAGAGCCCAGACGCCACTCACCAAAGTAGGATGCAGAACATTTTAATAAGCTTTGTTATACCAATTAACCAAGATGTCCCCTGAAAGTATAGTCCCCAGACTCCTGCCCCTGCTACTCTGTCCCTCAAAGTGTTTGA